GTTAACGTTACTAGTAAGTGGAAACGCACAAGGAAGATAATGTTTCAGAGGCTACGCTACATTAGGCTAACATTAGTAGCGTTAACGTTACTAGTAAGTGGAAACGCACAAGGAAGATAATGTTTCAGAGGCTACGCTACAGTAGGCTAACATTAGTAGTGTTAACGTTACTAGTAAGTGGAAACGCACAAGGAAGATAACGCTAATGTTTCAGAGGTTATGCTACGGTAGGCTAACATTAGAGAGTAGTGTTAATGTTACTAGTAAGTGGAAACGCACAAGGAAGATAACGTTAATGTTTCAGAGGCTATGCTACAGTAGGCTAACGTTAGCCATTAGCAACTGGATGCTGTGTTATCATATATAACGTTATATGTTATATTAGAAGCAAAGGAAACATAACGTTACCTGTCCTGCACGGTCAAACGCAACCCCAGAGTTTTGAAACTTATCTGGGGTCAGTGATGACTGATGAGTTTTATAACATAACGTTAACGCTAACATTAGATAGTACTGGTGACTGGCAACAAACAAGGAAGATAATACAGAGGCTCAGGCAACGTTAGGCTACAGTAGGCTAACCATTAGCAACTGGATGCTGTGTTGTCATATAATGTTATAGCCTAGGCAAAATAAAAATACCTGTCCAGCAGAAACTCTGCGACCATCTCGTCCTCGTCTTAGCTCAGGTTACGCGATCAGTCGAAGACGTCCATGTGGGGAAGACAGACAGGATGCCTCCAGCCAATCATTGCATTCGGTCCGAATGGTCGGAGTTTTCTTAGAATCATATGAGAATGGTATAATTATGAGTTTTTATTTCTGGTGGAATTCACTTACATTTTAGTGTGTTATCAGCTTATTAATATCATTTTAACCTCAATAAAGAAAAGCGTAAAATTTCCAGAAAGGTAAGGGTTGTTTTAAACGTGCCTTAATTAAATAAAGGGGAAATTTAACAAAAAACAAAACAAAACTGATACTAGATACTGGACCTCATTAATCCCTTCTATTCCCTTGTCCATTAACCTTATCTCAATCATAAACTCAAAACAGAATACTGTAGAAGAGAGGGTTACAACTCAAAAATGAGAGGTTGCCAGATTGTGACATACTGTGGTAACCTGCCCTTTAACTTTATTTTATTCTCTCCAAATGTTGTGTACTGATTAGATCATAGCCACATTGTATGTTGACACTATTGTTCCTTTCCATGACATTAGCTTTTTTGCCATAATGATACAGTAAGAGAGGAATTTTTGTTGGGCAGCGGAGAGTTGTCTTAAAGCTTTAGATACACCCAGAACGATTAATATGGGTTCTGGTTCTAGTGAAGTATTAATAGTTGAAGAGATGCTGTTGAAGACATCAGACCAAAAAGATGCGACCTTAGGGTACAAGCTGTGAGAAAGGGTTGTTTCTGAGGTGTGACATTTATCACAAGTTGGTGACACCTTTGTCACTTTATTAGGTACACCTTGCTAGTACCAGGTTGGACCCCTTTTTAATTCTTGGTGTCATAGATTCAACAAGGTGCTCAGAGATGTTGGTCCATATTGACATGATGACATCACACAGTTGATCCATGATGAGAATCTCCCGTTCCAGCACATCCCAAAGGTGCTCTATTGGACTGAGATCTGGTGACTGTGGAGGCCATTGGAGTACAGTGAACTCATTGTCATGTTTGAGATGATGTGAGCTTTGTGACATGGTGCGTTATCCTGCTGGAAGTAGCCATCAGAAGATGGGTACATTGTGGTCATAAAGGGATGGACACGCTCAGCAACAATACTCAGGTAGGCTGTGGTGTTTAAACCATGCTCAGTTGGTACTAAGAAAATCTCCCCCACACCATTACACCACCAGCAGCAGCCTGAAGCGTTGATACAAGGCAGGATGGATCCATGCTTCCATCTGAATGTGGTTTTTCCAATCTTCTATTGTCCAGTTTTGGTGAGAAAACCCGTGTGAATTGTAGCCTCAGTTTCCTGTTGTTAGCTGACAGGAGTGGCACCTGGTGTGGTCTTCTGCTGCTGTAGCCCATCTGCTTCAAGGTTGGACAAGGTGTTGTTGCTTCAGAGATGCTCTTCTGCACACCCTGGTTGGAACCAGTGCTTATTTGACTTCCTGTTGCCTTTCTATCATCTTGAACCAGTCTGGCCATTCTCCTCTGACCTCTGGCATCAACAAGGCATTTTGGCTCACTGGATATTTGCTCTTTTTGGGACCATCCTCTTTAAACCCTAGAGATGGTTGTGCTGAAAATCCCAGTAAATACTCAGAGCAGCCCGTCTGGCACCACAACCATGCCACGTTCAAAGTCACTTAAATCACCTTTCTTCATCATTCTGATGCTCTGTTTGAACTTCAGCAGCTCGTCTTCACCATGTCTACATGCCTAAATGCATTGAGTTGATGCCACGTGATTGGTTGATTAGGAGTGATGGCCAAATGAAGCCTCATGAAGCATTTTTTATTTTATTTTCTGAGCCCACTAGATGGCGCTCATGGTTTAAAGAGAGAGGCTAAAAGAATGGGAATTCAGTGTGCTTTCGACCTTTTGTTGGACAAAAAGCGCCATCTAGTGGGCTGAGAAAATAAAGTAAATTCTTCATGAGGCTTCATTTGGCCATCACTACCATGCACCACCCCTCCGGCCCACCATACTTGGACCTCCGCCACCTTAGCTTACATTGTTGCCCCACCGTGTTTCCCCGACACCCATGTATAAAGTAAATTCTTCATGAGGCTTCATTTGGCCGTCACTACTGATTAGCCATTTGCATGAAGGAGCAGTTGAACAGGTGTACCTAATAAAGTGGACGGTTGATGGTGTAATGTTTTAAATTGTATTGGACAGTAGTCAGGTTTCCATCCACCTATTTTTATTCGCATTTCCAACAATTGCGAAAAAAAAAACTTGAATGGAAACGCCAGAAATTCGAAATAGGGCCGAAATATCGCAAAAACGTTTTTACGCTTGGAGGGGGTGGAAAAGTCAGCGTATCGATATTAGGAAAATGCGACTTTTGGCAATGGAAACAGATTTAGCGAATAAACAATGACGTAGGCTACTGAATCCTACTTCTACTTCACGCACACACCTGTGTGAACTTGGAGAGAGGTAATTACTCCAGTGTCAGGTGAGTGTAGGCTATTTCACAGCTTACCTGAATAGACTGGATGTGTTGAATACTGCTGCATCATGTGCGCTGCCTGGTGTACCAACACAGACATCACGGCATTATGTAGGCTACGCTGACAGCGCTGATATGAGTGTGATGTGAGCTCTCGCAACAGCCAAAAGTTCCCAAGGAATCTCTCCATCTTGTCATAGTTATGAATGTGCCGGTAATTGTTTACATCAGTTGTGGACATGAGACGCTCTCAATGATGTCATCTCACAGCGCCCTCTTCTTCTACGGGTGTTCTTCTGCATTTTTATTTTTCATGAGAAGCGCCACTTTCTACTCGACCTGTTGACTCCCAATACTCGCAAAACAGTAATGAATGGAAACGTGCATAAATTCGCATTTTCTTTTGCGCATTTTCACAAAATTCGCTTAAAATTTGCGACACATTTAGATGGAAACCCAGTTTGTGTCTGGCGTTGTTTGAGCATTTGTGTGTGTTTGAGATGTTCTTCCCAAATGATATTTGAATATCTATTTTTTACCCAATTGGCTCTGTAACTTTCAGAAGATGGAGACAAGAACATTTTTCACATCTTTAAGGAGTTTTTATTTCTATTTTGTGTGTTTTATACAATAAATGCGCCAAATTCCTCTAAAACACAATAATAATAAAATGTGTGTTTCTGTTTGTGTGTGCGCGCGCGTCAGTGTGTGTTTGTGTTTGTGCGCGCGCGCATGTACAGGGCGGGGGAGGGCTGGTAAAGGGGCGTGGAATAAGACAACATCACAGGCTAATGCAGCTTCCCAGCATGCCATTAATCTCCGTCTGTGGACCGTCTGACCGTCACCCTGGTTGCCTCCATCCGTCCTCTCACCCGAAGGACTCCGAGCCGGACCTGATGGATCTGATCTCTGGGTGTCATCAGTAACGTTAGCGGGATGAAAGCGACATAGTGATTAAGGGAGCATCTCCTCCTCCTCCTCCTCCTCCTCTTCCTCGTCCTTCACTTTTGCACCAGCGGAGCTTGGCTTTCACTCTCCCACCGGCGGAGATATGAGGAATCCAGTGGCCGATGTAGCCCTGACATTCTGGCTATTTCTAGAGGTGAGCGCTGCCTGCTGTTATTGTCCCGAGCGGCGGTATTTTTAGGGCTTTTGACAGACAGACACGTCTGGTGTCCAGCATGGTGCTGCCCCTCTGAGTGTGTTTAATATGTGGAGACAATAAAAGGTTTTGTTGGAGGCAGCGGGCTGCCTGTGATATCGCTCTGTGTGCCGCCTGGTATTGTTTTGAGCGTTCTTCGCCAAATCCCATTCAAAAATATCATAATTTCACATTGTTCCGCTTGACACGAAAAATACACACATGATAGAAGACAGATTAGGATATTTATAATATTAATAGCATCCGCTGGGAACTTCGGCATATAAGTGACCCACCAGGAAACACTTAATACCAATAAAATCTTAACTTAACATTGGTAGCACTCTTATCCCCGCTTCCATCTCTCCAGTGTTTTCTAAAGAACAAATACATATAAAAAAGAGTAGATGCTGGTGGCATAATGTGCATGATGGATAAAGAGAATGGAGAGCAAATAGTCCTTTTATTGATGATAAAACACACTGACTTGTTTGATAGGATGCTCTGTGAGAGTGCTCAGCAGGCTGTGGAGCTACCTGTGATTCTGTCATCCTTTGTCCTTGTGCCCAGACCCCCATACCTGCTCAGTAGGTTACTGGGCCTGTAGGACACACTCACACACACACACACAGGTGTGCATGAGGCTGAATCCAGTTCCAGGCTGTAAATCACATTTTTTTAAAAAATTAATTTGTCATTATATTTTACTGCATGTGATGTGATTTTTAAGTGTTGTCGTAACATATTTCTCAGAGCTTGATGTATTTATGCTTTTTAAAAACCCAATGTCGTGTCAGCAAAGTGTTCCTCTTTTCTTTACTGTGTATCACATGCTCGTTTTAAAGGGTGACTTCAGTATTTGTCAACCTGGCCACAATTTTCTCATGTTTTTGTGCCCAAGGGACTAACGGCAACAGCAGTTTTTAAAATTGGTCCAGTACTGAGTGAGCCTGCTGTAGCTGACAGCAGCGAAACAGGCTGCAATATAACCACTTGGGGCAATTGACCTATGGCTGAGTCCCGCCCTCAAACGCGATGAGCCAATCACAGTGCGTATAGCCATTCCCATACACTGGGACATTCTCTGCCTGGACGTCCATTGAAATGCATTACAGAAAGTCAGTTTTGTTCGGTTTTATGAGCTTTTTCTGAGATTTGAAGTTTAAAAATGGTCAAACGGTGTGCATGGGGTACATGCAACTCTGACACAAGGTATCCTGAGAGGCTGGGCGACCAGGTGTATTTTTTACACTTTAAACCACATCTCAACCGAGAAAAGTGTCTCCTTTGGATAAAGTTGTGTGCTAACGTTAGACCACAACATCAACTCAACGTGAATAAGATTAACAATTAACTTCTGGAGCTTAGCTTCATTAACTTATCTGTAATGGCAGAGATAACAAAGGTTGGCAAACGTTATGCTGAATGATTCAGTGTAAATACTGTAGCACCAAACTAACGGAGAGACACTCTTGGTAAAGATGGTAAAAAGGCCGTTATCCTTTTCTCATATTCTGAGCCAAAAACCTTAACTTCAGTGGCACTTTAACTTGTTGTCTTTGATGGCGACGGCAACCAGATGCGGTTCACAAGCGTACACTGTGACCTGTAAATTTTGGCTTGTAATTTAAGCTTTTCATCGACCTTCTCAACAATAAAATGATGAATATATCCCTCCAATGCGTAGTTTAGGCCCTTTTGGTTACTTCTCAATGACATCTGATCGTTATGTCTCCAAAAATCATCAGTTGCCTCCTGTGAAATGCCGTGTACTGTGACACCTGCCATAGCGCCGCTCACTGAATGCTGATATTTTGTCCGAGTGAGTGGAGGGGGGCGTGGCTTAGCCATAGGTCAGCTGTGCATTGTCAATTTACGTCCACTTAAAGTGTTTGTTTTTGCCACTGACAGGCTCAGGTTGATATTCTAAGTGTCTGACAACATTATGTAAAGGATCCCTACAAAATTGTAATCACCAAAGCCACCAAACTCCATTTAAGTAACAGTAATTTTATCATTGTAAAACGCACTTCATTAAAAGTAAAAAAAAAAATAAAATAAAATCACAAAAGCCATCTTGGTTCATCTCTCCACTGTTCCAACAATCAACAAACTCTCATCTTTGATTGAAATCAAACCTGATTCACCCAGTTAGACGTGAAAACATGCTGCCTTTATACACAATAAAATTACTGCTTATTAAATATGGAGTCTGGTGGGTTTTGTGATGGTGATTTTGGGGCTGTTTCGGGTCAAACAAAAGGATCTTGTGCTTTAACACAAAGGGTTATCTCTGTAAGCATCCTTTCCATAATGTTGTCAGACACTTAGAATAGCAATCTGAGCCTGTCAGTGGTAAAAACAAACACTTTTAAGTGGACGTACATTGAGGGTGCACAATTGCCCCAAGTGATTATAATGCAGCCTGTTTCACTGCTGCCGACTGCAGCCCTCTCCCCTCCCAAAATTGTTGTTCCCATTAGTCGCAGGGTCCAGGTTAGAGAATATAGAGGTTAGTCTTTAACATCTCATAATGAGAATAATTTAGAGTTGTGTGAATGTTCTGGATGTTACTGAGGATTTAAGGATCATTTGAGGAGAATGAGGGGATGGTGATGAGTTCCCATTTTATTTTACAGGGCTCTGAAGGAAGCACAATGTGGTCACAATCTCCACTCCTCCTGCCAGTCCTGTACCGCTGACACTCATGTCTATTCATGTATTATTAATCAGGGGCCGGGCAGCTCTGCCTCTTGTTATTATTCTTCTTCTTCCTCCTACAAGGAAATCTGCCTTCCCATGCATGCACAGAACTTTGCACATAGGTTCAGTCCTGCACCAGTTTCTCACCTGGTGTTGTGGGGTAGTAGTCCTGATGGTGGGGCTACAGCAAATTTGAAAATTCATAACGTATTTGTCATGAGTGCAACCACTTTGCAACTTTCACCAAAATGTAGCCCGATGTAAACAGAAATGTTCAGATGCTTCGAGCTTCAGGAATTATTATATTATATTATATTATATTATTATTACACCCACCTCCTCCCACAGTATTTGCCCAGCTGACACCAAACTTGCTCCACAGCATCTTCAGACTGCTCTCCACAAATGATCCAGCCAGATTTGTGAAATATCAAAAATTGAGCCCAAAGTGTATCAGAATGTCTTACTGTAAATAGCTACTGCATATTCTTGCTGAATAAATCTCCAATGTTCCTAAAAAATGACAGCAATTTTGATGTGATTGTAGAAGTAGTGTGGTAAATTGCAGATTGAATCCCAAAAATAGAATTTCAGTCTTAGTCAAAGAAAACTTTATTTCCATTTGCAGTATTAAATTTGGCGGCATGGCTCTGTTCTGGGGCCTCTCTGCCTGTCCTCAGGCCTACGCAGAAAGCCTCGTCTACAAGTCTATGTGGAAAGCCTGAGGCAGAGAGAGCACACCTCCCTGCCCTTCCATGTGCATATGAGGAAAGCCTGGGCCAAAGAGAGCAAACGTCCCTGCTCTTCCATGTGCCTACATGGAAAGCCTAAGGCAGGGAGAGCAGCAGCAAAGACCCCCCAGGAACAGATAGAGCAGCGTCAATGACAAACAGAAATGACATTGATAAGTCAGACACAGCAAAAGGAGGAGCTGGGGTGGAGGCAGGTTGCAAAGCAGCTTGCAGAGGAAGCAGCAACAGTAGACAGGTCAGAGCAGTTTAAATAGGGCGCCATGAATGAGATTCACCAGTTGGTTGCATAGAAAGGAATCATGTGATCTATCAGCTGACTCCCTTCTATCAATCGGCTGCTCCAACAGTTGATTGTGGTGCTTGAGATCAGCTGATGTAGCTGGGATGTGAGCTGAGCTTGACATCGTGTCCTGCCTGAACTAACGCTATGCTCAATTTTTGACAATATTTTGTTGTCTCTCTAACTACAGCAGTCAGTGGAGATGAGAGCATCTTTAAACATCACTTACTGAGAAATCAGTCTTTATAAAAATAAATGACAGTAATCTTTATATTGTCTATGAGGTACAGAAATTCTCAGAATTTTGTCTTGAGTACAGAAGTTTTGACACCAGTTTGAAATCTGCCTCTACAGGCAAACCTGACTGCTGAAGTCATAGCGTGATGCCACTGATGATTTCTTATTTGGCTCAATAAGATCCTGACTTGCTCTTGTTGTCTCAGGTTGTGGGTTTGAGTCCTGGGTGATGCAGAATAAAAATGCATATCTACTGACGTTTCTGTAGGCCGACACAGAAGTTAGCGTTACCTTGGTTTCCTCGTCATAAAGCCTGTGGGATTTTTCCATTGGATTTTGGATTATTGCTGAAAATAAACTCTGTGGCAAACATATATTTATGATCCTGAGACAATTTGTTCAGCAAGATAATCTCCACAAATCAACACCACTTTTATGACTTTTGAAGCCTAAATGCAATTGGCAAAAGTAAAAAGCCAGCGTTAGGCTATAAACGAACTATACCACGGTCACATGACTTCAACGTTGCCACCACTGCAAGGCTGTAAAGCCATGTTCGGCGTGATGACATTCTGTAGTCTCATTTAGCAACTTGTTAAGACACATAAAAGCTTCAAAATTCACGGTGGGATATTTACTGATGAATTTTATGTTGTAGAACAAAACATGAAAGTCTCTTAAGCCTCTGGTAACCACAGGCCTTGTTCAGGCATCGAACCAAAAACCCACTGACTTTGAGACGAGGGAACCAAGAGTGCTAACATGCTAACTCTTTCCCTCCTGTTTCTGTCAGTTGTCTTCCTCCTCTTCCTTTCTTCACCTCCCTCCCTTCTTCCCCTTCTTCTCCTTCCTCCTAAAATGCCCGGCCTCGACTCACTGCTGCACAGCAGCTATAATTCTTATCATTATTATTTTATTTCATTCAGCAGACTTAGGGAGCACATCCATTTTGAATGTGAGCAGGCAGCTGAGGGAGTTAAGCCCTCAGA